TGAGTCTAAGAGAATATGTAACAGTGTTCCAGGCTGAACTAATAGCCATACAACACTGTGCAAGAGAAATATTAAACCAACAAGTATCAGGCAAAGCTATTGCCATCTACTCTGATAGCCACGCAGCTCTAAATACAATTTTCTCACCACAAATCAAATCACGACTTCTAAAAGACTGCCTGGCAGAGCTAAGTAGTCAAAACAAGGTGACCCTAGCCTGGGTGTCAGGCCACGAGGGATATCAGAGCAATGAAAAGGCCAACGAATTAGCCCGAGAAGCCTCAGATAAGGCCATGACAGACCCCGAAACCTTCTGTGGACTTGCTAAGGCATTGTGCAAGGCATCCATCAAACTGTGGATGCAGAAAGATCATCAGGAATGGTAGAATAACTATCCAAGACTAAGATAGGCCAAACAATTCATCAAGAAATTATCGAACAAGTTCAAGAAAAACGTAAAATCGTTAGAATACTGGACACTGTTGCTTAGGAAAGCGCCTGAGTATTATCAATCCCGTAGAAGAAGCAACTTTGTGCAGGTTCTGTGAAAAAGAAGAGGAAACATTAATTCACGTCTTGTGTCAATGTAAAGGCCTGGCTAGATTGAGGTTTCTATTATTAGGCGGCAAAAAGCCAAATATATGGAACTACATGCGGGAGCCACTGACAAAGGTACTAAGTATAATAAAACATATTAAGCTAGAAAATATTCTCTTAAAAGAAAAACGTACCACAATAGATTTGAAAAGGTCGCGGTGGACAAGGACAAATAATATCCAACTCCTTTTAAATCATTGAGGGTCCATCTTAGAACAAAAAAATAAACAACTAAATCTTAGCAGGAAAGAACTTATTACCCTAATAGAACTCTTTACGTGACACTGTTAGATTACACCTAAAATCTATTGTAAATGCTTTAGGTTTGTAATCATTGTAATTACCACTGTCCCTTAATTCCTCAAAGTTCTAGACGATCATTATATAGAACATTAAGCGGTAGAAGTTTCCGTTTCTCCAAATTAGTTTTCTTTGGACAGAACACAAAATTTCTAAATTGTCAATATGGATTCACCATAATCTGCGTGTGGCCCATAACCTATTGGAAAACCTTTAGATTTGTAATGGAAAAACTTCTTATATAGAAAATCAGTAGCGACTTTTACAAGATTATTTACTCATCGGAAAATAATATTCAAACACAGTGTATATAGAATACATATAGTTAATTAGTTGAATTAGGGGACTCAAACTAAATCGCTAATAGATATCGGATGATTCCCTGTGTAGAAAATATAAACAGGAGGATCAAACTCTTATTCTCATACTATGTCACTCTCAGAACCATTAATAACAACGGGAATAGCAACTACGGGGTGCAATACTAGAACCTGAAAAAATCGCGAAACTTTTCATCCGACATATTCTTCAGTACATCAAGAATATTAACCTGATGGGGTAGCAACACAAACAGCATCCTAATTCAGATAGATAGAAATATTCTATAGAAGGTGGATCAAGTATCGTAGGTCGCCTAAAAGGGAAAACTTTTATTAAGATGTTTAATTTTAAATTTATTAAATTATTTTTACTTAGAGGAAACAGAGTAATATCTTTTATGTATATAAGCAAATATTCATTTATTACCTATATAAAGTATTCCAGAAATGTGCTATATCGGTAACAGAAACTCCACTCTGGTTTTAGTACCATATTTGAGTAACAACCTATAAAAGTAATTTTAAAATCCGACTTTAAAATTGTGCAGATACCATTATAAATTGAGTCTGCTGATTTTTTCATAGATCCTATCATCAGATCTCAATCAAACCAAATATGGGGGTACCTACCCCTGAGGTACCTCCTTTCTATATAAAAAAAAAAAGAATCATATAAATCGTACACCGGGGTAAAGAACTATCGCTGAACATACATAAAAAATAAAAAGTTTGAAAATTTTCTCGTGGATCCAATTATTAGATCTTGACTAAATTTATATGGGACCACCCCTGAAGTACCCGCTTTCTAACAAAAACAATCATAGAAATCGGGTATCGTGGCAGAGAATTATCGCTGAACATACATAAAAAATATTCCTACGAATTGAGAACCGCTCCATCAGTCCCTTCTTTCCCAAAAGGGAATATCAAAGAAAATGGTGGATAATATATTTTTTTCAAGGCTTTTTCACTAAAGACTTTTTTATACGAATGTAATATATTTTAACAATGTTCAGTTTGTGATTAATTTTAAGTTAATAAGAGACATATGACATTATTAAAATCTACAAAAATATATCTTGCCCATAAATAATAGCAGCAACCATTTATTGGTCTGTTAGAAAGAGGTTTTTCAAATAACATTAGAATATAAATAAAGCTCAAGGCCTTGGATTGATTTCTAACCCTTTCAAAATGTATATAGATGTGGAAAGGTATATTAGAGACTTCTGAACACAGCAATAACCTAAAAATTTGTATCAAAATTGAAATTTAAAACCATTTCGGAATAAGATGTAGCTTGCTCTATCTTGAAAATAAAAACAAAGGCTTGTGGATATGACGGCTCTAACACATCCTTAATACATTTTTTATATCCGCACTTACTTTCATACTTCACCATATCAAACTTAGTGTTTCCATCTTGTTGGAAAGAAGGACTAGTTACACCCATACCTAAAGTTGAACCACCTTCTGAATTAAAAGAATTACGTCCTGTGACAGTACTTCCAACACTATCAAAAGTTTTAGAAAGAGCAATGGAAATTCAAATAAAAAAACATCTTATACTCTACACTACCAACGATTCAGTCAGGGTTTAGGCCAGGCTTTAGTTGTGGAACGGCACTGTTAAATATCACAGATGACATATTAACTGAACTTGATAATAAAAAATGCGGTGCTTTAATTTTACTTGACTATAGTAAAGCTTTTGATATGCTAAATCACCAATTAAATGTTTGTCATTTTAAGTTACATAGGTTTCAGTAATTCTGCAGTAGAGCTTTTTAAAAATTATTTTAATAATAGGACTCAACGAGTAAGCTTCCTTAATGATATTTCAAATGTGAGTAGAATAAAAAGAGTTCCTCAAGGTACAATTTTAGGACCTTTACTGTAACCAAATTACACCAGTAATTTTCCGAATGTGTTAATGCATATAAAAATACACATATATGCTCACGACACTTAGCTGTATTATTTCTTTAATAAAGAATATATCCATAAACACTGAGCTAGAAGCATTATTAGAAGCATCTAAGAAACATGACTTAGTAATTAATAATTCTAAATCAAATGTTATGTTAATCGGAAATAATATTTTACCTAATCAATTACAAATCAGACTTGAAAACGACCTTTTAACAATTACTGAGCAGGCTAAAAATCTGGGAGTCATAATCGATAACAAATTGAGATTTACCGATCACATATCATTTATGTTAAAGAAAGCTTTTGGAAAATTTAAAGTCTTGAATCCTAATAGACATATTTTAAGTAGAAAACTCAAAATACTCCTTTGTGAATCGCTTGTACCCTCACAAACTAACCACTGTGACTATGGTCCCTGCTTAACATCAAGAGATTCATCAAGACTGCAAAGGCTTCAAAATTCTTGTTTACGGTTAATCTTCGGTATAAGAAAATTTGACCCAATTAGTCATACCTTAGTAACTGTCCTCCTTACTTAACCAATAAAATAAAGCATAGATCAGATGTTCACAATATTAATATTAGGAGGAAAACAATTATTTCTATGCCACCTTATAGAACTTCCCTTTTTAAAAAATCTTTTAGATATATCTTCAAAGCATACAATCTTCTACCAGACAATTTTAAACTAATGACAATATCTCAATTCAAACAAAAACTTTTTGAAAAATTATTTTACGAACAATGTTGAAAAATTATTTATATTTTTTTTATTTATTTATTGTATTACTTATTTATACAAATGTGTGTTTAAATTTATTATAAATTTATTATTTTTTTTTAACTGGATTTTTTTACTCTTTACTTATAATATTATTTTTTATCGTTTTATTTATGTTTTTTGGGTTCTTAAGGAAGAGCAGCTTAGCTGATTTTGAGCTCTTTAACCAACGTTTGCCTTTATCTTATTTTCTTGGGTCCATATCATAATGAATGTTTCATTTTACTTGTATTTTCTTTGTTGGTTAATAAAGACATTTATTATTATTATTATTATATTAGTATCAGCGAGTACCGCCTTACTACACACTTTAGTAAAGGTGGGGAATCGCTTCAAAATAAATTTTGTTTACATAATCAAAATGTTATCGTTATTTCTAGCTCTTCTAAAATAATATTATTTTAGGACATTTAAAAAAACATAAAATCAACTTTCTTGAAAACTCAAAAGCTCCCGTGAGGCGCCACTGGATTTCAGCGTTCTAGTAAAATAAATATTGTTCGATCACGCCTCAAACTAAAAATAATTTCCTTAGCTTCTGCAGTTAACTTTAACGTTAGATAAATTAAACATCACTGAATTATTTTTATTGATTAACATGTGAGTTTTGCAATTTTTATCCGTGCTGAAAACATTCTGTTTTGTAAACAATGCTTCTTCAAAGAAAAGACCAAAGGTAATTTTTGATTTTGATTTTTTTTATAGTGACAGTTTATATTAGTATAATCATAATAATTTATATGTCATATTCTTGAATTTTTTTCATCGAAATGATTCTATTCGTATTTTCTATATTGATCAGGTGAAAAAAAATAATCGTCTGTGTTCAGTAATAGGACCAACCTCTTATCTTATTAATATCTGATACCAGCCAGTCCAATCTCCCAGTAAAATATATTGGAATCCTCAATAAAAACCATCAAATTTTAAACAATCCTATAATTAGTTAAAAACAGAAAGATATTATTATATTGCTTGAAACCATTTTAGTCTGAAAATATTACACATTTTTTAAATTAAACATAAATACAGCTATAAAAATCTTTATTGAAAATTCACTAAATAAACCATTACAGTACTGGTTGAGGTGGAAACTTTGGCACTTTACACCCGATCTGTTTAATAAAACTGCCAGCCGTATAACAGCCCATTGTACAACATTGAATTAAAGTTTTATTTTGGCACAATCCAGCTAAAAAGCCAGCCGCAAAAGCGTCACCAGCTCCTATTGTATCTTTAAACTCTTCATCACTGATTTTAGTCACTTCAAATTCTAATATTTTCCCTTCTCCATAGACGCATTTTCCATTTTCACCACCTCGGGTTATAATCACGATGGTTCCGTACTGGCAGATCTTGTTCTTGGTATTTTTTACTAAATAATCGGCCAGGCTATCAGCGCTTTGATGGTCCATAACTCTACCCAATGCTTCGTATTCATAAACGTTACCTATTACTATATCCGCCCTTGTGATCAAGTCTACCAGAGCGTTTGGACAAAGAGTGCAAAGATACACTCCGCAAATATTAGCCACGACGATCTTATTATGTTCCTCGCATATATTTAGTATATGGTCGGTGGATTCTTCCCGATTAGGTAAGAAAAAGCCTTCGATGTAGATGTAGTTGGCTTTCTTAATATAATCCTCTAGATCTTCTATTGCGAGGAGGTCTTCCAAAGGTAATTCTGCAGCTGCTCCCACATAGGCGACTATAGATCTATCCGAACCATTCACTATACAAACTGTTCTACCAGTCAGTTGGGTTTTGTGGACTATATATTTAGAATTGACGTGATCGGCATTCAGTAGAACTTTAATCTTTTCTGCTACTTCATCATTTCCAATTGATCCTACTATTACAGTCTCGCAGTTATTGTTCATTATCCATTGGAACGCTCTGAGGAAATTCTGCGAACAACCTCCTAGAGTAACGGTTTTCTCCATGCCTTCTATTTCAGCGATGAGTTGGTTCATTTCCTTGTAGTTGAGCTCCTTTTGGCTGTTGACTGGAATGTCGTATTTTAGTAATAAAGTGTCGTCGGTTGTGTGGATGATGGTGTCGAGTAATGGATTGCCGAATGCCATGACTTTCTTTATTGGACAGGGACGACATTCGTTTCTATGTTGACCTATAAATAAAGCTGATTGTAATTAGTTCATAGAAACTGAGGTATATTTATGGTGGACTAAGTTTCTTAACATTGAATTGGAAGAGGAAATGTATATTTAGTGTCTTTAATTTATTTTATTAACGTTTGAAGAAACACCTAATTTAACACATCCTAACCCGAAGATACCAGAATAGATCGGACTGTTTCCAGAATGAACCAGTAGAGCTACACGTGCGTGATAACCACTTATTTTAATAGCGCCATTGTTCATGTTCGTATAACTACTGAGAAATATTTTAGATTGTGCATAAGCATACACGGTTACTATCAATCTAAGCAAATGATTCATAATCGTGAATAAAAACGAGTTTTGTGCAGTAATAAAACATTTTTATTTGAAAGGCATATATACTAAACAAAAAATTGAATTGGCGGAAGCCATGGTGAGTCTCAAACTACATTTCTAAATTTAAATGCACTAAAACAAGCATCTTGGCAGTCTAATAGCAGCTACCAAGAAGAAACCATTGAAAAAGATCACAAAATCATGGTGAATGATGGCCGAGAGAAGTTGAAACATAGTAGAAAAAGAATCGCATTTTAGTTCTATATTTAAACATGAAAAAGCTTAGTGCTGGATGGGCCTCTTGACAATGGACCAGAAGCGAATTCGAATGACTAGACATCGTTAAACACAATCAGAAGATTTTTTGCCATATTCTATAGATGAAACCTGGATAAGTCAATACACTCCGGAGACCAAAGAGCCATATGCAGTGGGACAAACGTGGTGAGTCAACTCCAGAAAAAGTCAAGACGATGTCGTCTGCTGTCTTTTACCTTAATACGTTTTCATGCTATTCTGTATCTTAGAATTTCTTCTGGTACAAGGAATGTGAACAGCAAATTAAGTAAATCTTAATATCATTGTGGTATTTGGTTTAAATATTTTTAGAGTATTGTCAAAAATAAATATAGGATTATCTACTATCAGAGATAAACAATTATTTATGTTTTCTATGAAAAAAATACAATTCTTCACGTATCATATTACTTCGGGAATCTCAGAAGGAAAGAACAATGGCTAAAAAAGTGGCAGGTGTATAATAAATCAATAAATCTAGCACTTAAACAGCAGTTAGTTCTGTAACACATGTTACCATAAATAGAATATATTTTAACACAAAAATATTTAACTTTTTACCATCTTTTACAGACTTCCTAACTATAGGTTCTCAATATCTACATATTATAATATTAACATTGGCTTGATTTACATTATCATAATTATTTTTACACATTTCCTAATTCAATATTGAGAGAAACCTTGTCCACTGCATTTGTTATTATCTAGTTCTTCGTTAAATGGTTTTAAATATTTACATTTTTGGATGTTACAAGATGGATCTTTTTGCATTGCTTCATGGTTAAAAAATTCAGCTGATTCTTGGCATGTTTGTAAATTTTAACTGTCAACAACAGTTCTGTCAATAGAGGAATACTACATAGTGTCAGTGTTGCCAACTTTAATACGTTTTTCTGAAAATATACTATGAAGACTAGAGATAGGAGGTGAGTTGGCATCACATACTTTGATTACTATACGGTGCAAGAGAGAGGTCCAACGCGCCCAACATAGGACGCGGCCATTTTGATTCCTATGCCATAGTTTATAGCTAAAGAATCAGATCGCTCACTCTGCGTCGGCACTTTTGATCTCAATGTTCCAGTTTATACACTGCGCAACTCGGATAATACAATATATAACAACCGCCTATAATAAAACATCAGTCTTCTGCGTATCCTGAATTTGTATCCCTGGAGTGGATGTTATTTTGGAACTTTCAACTGGTTCGAGTGAGCTAACTGATTCTTTAGCAATAAACTGTGACTCCAAAAATAATTAGGCATTCCAAACTGAATGGCTACCAGTGGGTTTTGACGGGTTATGATATGGCAAAATTATGGCAACCCTGTAGGCCTGGTGATTTGACAAGGTCAATGAAATAGATAGTTACATAGATTGATTACCCATATTTTTCATAATAAGCGTATGCCTTGAAGTAAAAATGTAAGCAATAATTTTTTTTTAAATATCTAAAGGCTAAAAATTGGTTTTAAAACACATTTTTGTTAAACCGATTCAAATTAATAAATATTTGCCAGGCAATATGGCCGCTCGTAAACGACTAGCTTTGAGCAATCTATATAACTATATATGTATCATTGACCCTGTTAATGACAACATGACAACAGGGTTGCCATATCTAAACTGTCATTACCCACTGGTAGCCATTTGGACAGGTCGTTGGAATGCCTAAACTGACAGCAGCAAGCAAAATATCAGGTGCGTTTTAATCATCCGCTGCTACTTCCGGAATTGTCGGTTTAGTCGTTTTAACCTGTCAGATTAAAACAAGAAAACCGACAATTCCGAAGCAAAAGCGGATGATTAAAACGCACCTATTAAAAATATTGCGCCAAGATGTAGGCAACACGTAATAAGGGATCAAAATGGCGGAGTTTTCTATCTCCTTTTAAAAGGCACTCAGAAAGATGCGCAGTGCGACCATTCTCCGTATAGTAAAAAGAAAATCAAAGTATGTACGACCATTACTTTCTTTTCTGTATTGTTCTTTCTTCTGTGCCAAAATCGAAAAAGTGGGTGGAAGGAGTAGGGAGATGTTCTGGGCCGGACTTAAATACTTGTGTTGTAGTACCTAATTTTGGTATTTAACTAAAAGATGAAAAATTATGAGACTTTTTTTGACTTTATTTGTTAGCACGATTCATTTATGATAAGGACAATAACACTTTATCAATATATAGCTAGCTAAGTGCCGATTTCACCGTTGGGAAAAGGGAAATGGTTTTTCTCTTCACGTTTCTGCCCCAAATTACAATTACCTAGGCCATATACAAAAAATATGTTCTGTCTTTTCTTCAGAAGCTCTTGCTATTGATTCGGCCTTAAAATGGCTCCTAGAAAATAAAAGTTCAAAAAAGGCGGTTATCTTGTCCGATTCTAAATCTGTCCTAGCAGTATTACACAACTTAAATTATTTCAAAATGTATAAATCTACCCATCTATGTAAAATAAAAGAATACTGCTATGCTTTACACTCGGCTAATGTTAATGTAGTATTTGTGTGGGTAAAAGGTCACTGTGGCATTGTTGGGAATGAAATAGTTGATCAATTATCCAAACAAGCAACACTATCTTCAAATTTTATCAACATTTCCTTCTATGATGATCTAGTCAGCACAATCAAAAACCAAATACGTCTGGACTGGGAGAACTTATGGATAGATTTTACATCATCATCCAAAAATCATTACGGTACTATACATCCCTCTTTACCAACAAGAATATCACATTTATCAAATTATAATTTACCCAGAAAACATGCGGTCACCATTACACGTCTAAAACTAAATTATAGAAGATACCCTGCTCATCTTCACAAAATTGGAATAGCACCATCTCCGCTTTGCGAATGCGATAATCTTTCAATATGTGATATGAACCACATTTTATTTTCATGCACTAAACACTCAATGGAGAGGACAGATTTTATCAAAACATTAATTGATAACCTGATACCGATGCCAACCAACTTAACTGTCTTACTCAGCTTACAAAACAAAAAGATTTTCGATGCCCTTATTAATATTTTAGATAATATTAGACTTGGCTTTTGAAACTTAGTTTTTACTTTTAATAAGTTCTAGGTTTTCTTCCTGGTTCTTTTATAATATTTTATTTTAATTCACCTCAATAATATCTAAACCATTAAAGATTTTACCAAAAGTCTGTGGCAAATGGATTATGTCCGATGCCAACCACCCCTTCACACAAAGCTGCGCAGTGCGACCATTCTCCGTATAGTAAGAGAAAATCAAAGTATGTGATTGGCATACTTATACGGGTCTTTAAAATGGACGCTAATCGAGCGGGACGCTGGTGTTATTAGATACGTTAAAAATACATAGCTTTTTATGGGAATTTTACATAATTCTGTGAAAATAATAAAAATTAACTTGTATATTGCTAAATAAAGCACAGAAAATACTGTTGTATTTATTTTTAAATAAGTCTTGCATGTTTTAATTGATAAATTATTTAACTGTATCTATACGTATAAAATGCAAATTAGGTAGGTATGACCAAATTCGAAAAGATTTGTTAAATGGTAAAATTTGGTAAGTAGAATTTTCTGGCTAAAGTTTTTTGAAATATATCTAAATAAAGTTTTATGAAAAGAAAAATTAAACATTGTTAATAGATTTTTTATATTATAATTCAAGCATAAAGGGAGATTTGGGAATGTACATGGTATTTCCTCATCCTTTTATTTTGGCCTTTCCCTTTTTATTTCGTTAAGAGTACCATTAGTAACAAGACTCATAATATTTGGAAATATCTTATGAAAAGTATAACTCGCAAACATCTTTATCTCTAGAAAGTCCTCTATCAGCCCTGGGAATAATATGCTGCCACTGTCGTAAACGTTTAGGATCCTATAAACAACATTTACAATGACAAAATTGGGGTTGAACAAAAAAAATAATAGTAGTAACTCTTCATGTAACATTAAAAAACAATTTCTCTTTTCTAATAAGTTAAATTTAATGTGGAATTATTGTTGTTTGTAAGTTAGGATTTATGAATGTAACATTATTTTGTATTTTAGAAATTTGGATTAAAATAAACTACACTCCATAAAACACAGATTGTGACTAGTTTACAATAAATATTATATTTAGAAATACATACAATATTTTACTTGCACTAGTTTTACATGTGATTTATAACCTGGAATGAAGTAAATCTTCCTTTGATATTTTTTGTCACTCATGCTTGTCACATTCACTTTCATCAAAAATTGACGTACCTAACGTTAGACTTGCCAACTACAGTCAATTTGATAAATTTTATAAAAAGAAGGCAATGCATATATAAACTACATATGTTATTGAAAGAAGGACGAAAATTTGAAATTTATCCATTGTCGATTCGCCTTCTTCTATCTAGTCTTCATACAATATAATAATATGCTACTTCTTCGGAGCAATTACTACTAGAGCGAGCGTGAAGCGAGTTTGTAGGCGATTGTTGTATTCTCAATATTTATAGAGGAAGTGTGAAAGCAAGCGCAAGGGGAAAGGTAAACACACACTCCCTGGTCCAGTGGCGTATCATTTCACTGTAAGAACACACATTGTCTGAGCTATTTATTTGTAAAAAAAAATTAAACAAGACAAATGGGTACGAAATCTACGAAAGTAGAGGCGGAGAGTGAGCAATTAAGAATGCATATATGTGAATATAAAAATAGATAATATTATTATTAAAATCAATTTAAAATACAACAAACGGAGATAATTTACTATATTAAAATTAATATACAGGGTGTCCATTAGAGCGTAAGTTTGTTTAATAATTCAATTTGTGTTATAAACACGCAAAAAAGTTTAAAATAAGAGTTATATGGATTTGAAAAATGCATATTTTAAAAATATTTTTGCATTTTTGTCTGGAAAATAAAAATGTGTTTTCCAAAATAGAACACCCTGTGTCTTATATTATTTTTAGAATGGTTTGGTAATTCAACCCTTGAATGTTTTTTAAAAAATACAACAGTATTGCCAAGCAATTAATTTTTTTTGAAATTAGAGAATAATGCAGACCCCAAATTAAATTATAATTTAGGTATTTTTACATTGATTTAAAAATTGTTTAACAGGTAGGTCATAAAAAAACCACATTTTCTGGGGTCAAAAATAACTCCATTGAACATAACTTACCTAAATGCAAAAGTGCATACAAAAAAGTTACAGCTTTTGGAAAGTTCAAAATGAAACTCGAATTATACCAATATTTCATGAATTCTTTAACATTTTGTAATAAAAATGGATACATGACTTTATTATCATAAGAGCATCTTTTTCACATAAAACCACGAAATCTGTACAGCCCATAAAATTTTTAGGGGGGTTTGAACCCATTTTGCTCGTCATTTATTATTTATGTTATATTTACCACATTGCTGTACCAGATGTACCAGATGTAGACGTATTTTGTGACTAAAAAGTAACTTTATAATATTTTTGCACTTATGACTTAACAATTACATATTGTCAATTGAAGCTTTAGAGTATTGTGCATTTTAGAAGTGTTAAAATTAAACTTCCTGTTACAATGGTTTACACGTTTGCAGAAATGGTTGATATGCATTTAATTATAGGTAAGTTTGGTCATGCCGAAACAACGTTTCAGATAATTATCTGTAAGTCTGATAATCACAGGTAAATGTCAAGGGAATAGTGCAGCAGCTGCAAGGCGTTATGCGGAAAAATATCCCAATCGGAATACACCAGACAGACGATTATTTCTTTCCATTGATCGTCGTTTAC